GCAGGAGTAAGATGAGGCAGTCTGCTTCTGTAAAGATCTACAGCCTTGGAAACCCTATGGGACAGTTCTACTCTGTCTTGTAGGGTTGTTACGAGTTAGAATTGACTAGATGGTGGTTGGTTTGTTTTAATGGCAGATGTGTTTTATGTGAGAATTAGATGATACATGTAAAACACTTAAGAGTTTGGGTGGCACAGAGTAAGACCAAAACCCAATTGCTGTCAAGTTGTTCTGATTCATGGTGACCCCTGTGTGTGTCAGGGTCAAACTGTGCTCCAGAGGATTTTCAGTGGCTGAGTTTTCAACAGTAGGTCACCAAGCCTTTCTTCTGAGTTGCCTCTGGGCGGACTTGGACCTCCAACCTTCCAGTTAGCAGCTGAGCGAATAAACTGCTTGCACCACCCAGGGGTTCTGGTACATAGTAAGTGCTTATTAAATGTCATTTGCCATTTAATGCACTATGTCCCTATTCCATCCCACAGCAATGTGCAAATTGCCACTTCCTGCCTCTTTCATGCTATTCCCACTGCCTGCTCACACTCCTTTTCTTTCTACCTAAGTCCTGCCTATTCTTGCCCCTTCCCTAGAGCATTGCCCTGGCCATTCCTCAGCATCCCATCTCCTATTCACCTGGATTTGGCACCCCAGACCTTTCACATGCTGTCTGTTATTACTCTACCTTTTTCATACATATTCATTTTGTCGCCTAAAGGACACTTTTAACTCTGGAAAGCAAAGGTCTTTCTTTTCCTATTACTCTTCTGCCCATGAGGAGAAAAAACAAAATCCCCTTAGATGTCCAGAGGAGCTCTGGTGTTGTTATCGTTGTTGTTGTTATGTGCTGTCGAATTGGACTCAACTCATAGTGACCCCTCCTTGGGTTTCCTAGGCAGTTGTTGTTGTTGTTGTTATGTGCCATCGAGTCGGACCCAACTCATAGAGACCCCTTCTTGGGTTTCCAAGGCAGTATCACTATGGAAGTAGATTGCCCCATCTTCCTTCCGAGGAGTTGTGTAGTGGTTTCTAATGAAAAGGTTGGTGGTTTGAACTTACCAGCTGCCTTATGAGGAGGCAGTCTGCTTCCATACAGATTACCAAATCATGTAAACCCAATGGAAGTAGCTATAGTTGGAATTGACTCAATGACAGTGAATTTGATTTGGTTTGGTTTGATTTTACATGTCAGTACCAAGAATAGTGGTACTTTTCCTAAACCACTGGTTTAGTTTTGAGCTGATGGATACCAAATCTTCTTCTGCCTGATTGTATTCCTCTTTCCCGCTTTGCATTCACTGCTACGGAGCTCAAAGTCAAGCTTGTTGTTTACCACTAGCTGGTGCAGTAAAGGAGGTGCAAGGGTGCAGACAGCACTGGGTGACAGTGTCAGAGGGGATGACACCGAAAGGACTTCTATGAAATGTTTGTGCAGCATTTCAACAGAAATTTATTTTTTATAAAAATAATATCCTGACTTCTGCTCAATTACTAATAATGTTATAACTAATAATGTAATTCAACGTAGAAAGGTTTTACAAAACAATTTTGTTGTTTAAAAAAAAAAACCAAACTCACTGCCGTTGAGTTGGATCCAACTCATAGTGACCCCTCCTTGGGTTTCCGAGGTGGTAGCACTACCGAAGTAGATTGCCCAGTCTTCCTTCCAAGGAGTGGCTGGTGGGTTTGAACTGCCAACCTTCTGGTTAAAAGTCAAATGCCTTAGGCACTACGCCACCAGAGCTCCTAATTTTTTGTTAGTATTCCTATAATCTAAGAAATATTACATTTAAGCAGTTTACAATTACATTAGTTATAACTTCAAAAACATTTTTCTTAAGCCTAGCTGACATGTATCAATATACCTACAAGGCTAAAACTCTGCGCTGATTTATGTTTTGAACCTTCTGATGCCCTCCGGTCAGAGCTGCCATTATAACCCAGTTACAGTGATGCTTCTAATCATGTGGTCTCACCTGCACGCGCTAGAGCGCAGGCTGGTGTTGTCATTGCTATAGTGTTTTTACTTAGCTGCTGATTTTGTCAAATGTTCTGGTGATTTAGCTACCGTATTGTGTTAAATAGTGTTTGTGAACCTATACCAATAACTTATTTTTGAGAATGAAGTAGTAATTAAAGGAAAAGGAGAAAAATTTAAAAAAAAGACTTCCATTCAGTTACTAATACTATTGTAACTAATAATGTAATTTGACATAGAAAAGTTTTACAAAACAATTTTGTGGTTAGTATTCATATAATCTAAGAAATATTACATTTAAGCAGTTGATTATTATATTTATCGTATACTATGATTAGAATTGATAATCAACATTGATAGTAAAAATTGATAAGGATTCTATATGGTCAGATACAGAAGAGGTCCACGGGAGGGGCACCATGAGTTACCATACTGGGTGACACCAATCCTAGTGATGCCACTGAGTTGGTGCACTGTCATTCAGGGCAAGTATTTTGTGTGCAGGTCTCACTCCATCTTTACATTGTTTATTTTTCCCACATTTATTTCCTTGTTACCCTGCTTTCTGTACTTTTTATAACCTGATTTCTTATATTCATTTTATAAACAATATTTTGGGGAACAAAGGGGCATAAATAGTACAACTGACCTTTGAACAATGTGGGGGTTAGTGGCACTAACCCCAACCATCTCCCCACCCCCACCCCCACCCACACACAGTCAAAAATCTGCATATAAACTTAACTACTAATAGCTTACTGTTGACCAGAAGCCTCACTGATAATATAAGCAGTCAGTTAACACTGTTCTTGCTGTACAGTTACTACATTTTCATATGAAGACACTCGAGACATATATACTACAGGTAAGTTTATGAACTGTGCAGCATGGTGATTATTTACTATTCATTAAGTGGAAGTGGATCATCATAAAAGTCTTCATCTTCATCGTCTTCGTGTTGAGTAGGCTGAGGAAGAGGAAAAAGAGCAGGGGTTGGCTATGCTGTCTCAGGGCTCCCAGAGGTGACAGAGGTGGAGAAGGTGGACAGAGAGGTAGGAAAGGCAGGCACACTTGGTGTAACTTTACAGAAATGCGTTGCAATTTTTGTCTATTTTGCTTTTCCATTTCTCTAAAAATGTTACTCTATGGTACCAATCCTTTTTCCACCATTTGCTTTAGTTTCAGTGACCATATCATAGAAGAGGTCTGGTCATAGAAGTCAAAAGTGTCTTGAGTAACTGGAACCCTTCTGCCAGATTGTCTAATGTCAATTGTTTTCTGGCCATGCTTCTTCTACATTTTCTTTCTCATCACTGGTTCAGAAGCCCCCTTGTCCACCAAGTTGTCTTCTATTAATTCTCCTAGTGTGGTGTCTATTAGTTCTTGAATTTCTGCAAGAATTTTACTCCCCACCTTTTTTATTGCCATATTCATAATCTCTTTCATGATTTCCTGAATTGGCTGTGTTGTAAAAATAATCCATGTGTAAGTGGACCCATGTAATTTAAACACATGTTGTTTAAGGGTCAACTGTACATTTTTTAGGGTGAGGCAACATGAAAGTATGGCAAGAGCTGGGGCTATGCAGGAGGTCGACCTCACTTCATAGACACTCCACCACTGACCTACAGCATGGCCTTGAGCAAATGACCTCCACTGTCCCGACTCTCCATTTCCTAGACTGACCAAGGACAGAAGGAACGTACTTCACAGGGTGGCGTTGCTATCTAAATGAGCTAAGATGAGTGAAGTGCCAAACACTATAGCTGGCATCTTAATGCTGCCCATTAGATACTAGTTCCGTCTTGTATCTTCTGTTATTGTTTTTGTTATGTGCTGTTGAGTTGGACTCGACTCATAGCGACCCCTCCTTGGGTTTCCGAGGCAGTATCACTACGGAAGTAGATTGCCCAACTTTCTTTCCGAGGAGTGGCTGTGGGTTTGAACTGCCAACCTTCTGGTTAGCAGTCAAGTGCCTTAGGCACTGTGCTACCTTGTATCTTCTGTTGTCTTTAAAACTTAAGCTATTAAGGGGTGTTACGTTTCTGTTGAGGGAGATGAAAATTATTTGTAAGAGCAGTAATTGTTGCACAATGTGGTGAATGTAATTAATATCATTGAATGGTACACTTAAAAATGGTTAACGTGTCACATGTTTTGTTATATAAATTTTACCACAATAAAAAATTTATTTAACATAAGCTATGCAAATAAGCAGATATTTCTAAATTAATTGATGGAAAATATATAAGTTGTAGTCATTGTTAGGTGCCATCGAGTAGGTACAACAGAAGGAAACACTGCCCGGTCCTGTGCCGTCCTCACAGTTGTTAAGAGGCTGGAGCCCATAGTTTAGCAGGTATTGATCAATTGCAGCACCTAAGGAAGCTTCTTCCATTGGGCAGCTCAAGCACTTACCCATTTGCTTAATGAGTAAATGCTTGTAGCTCCCTTTAGGTTTCTGGAAAATTATCTTCAGTCCTGTCTTCAATGCTACAAAATAGTCTAATAAACAAAAAACATTAAAGCATGAAGATGTGGCTGTTTCTTCTGATTCTGTTTGGGTAGATTTTCCCTTTTAAAAATAAACAATTTCTGATAAGTGGTGAGGAGACACAGGAGGCACAAACAGCTAAATGCTCCACTGGTAACTGAGAGGCTGGCGGTTCAAACCCAGCCACAGGTACCTTGGAAGAAAGGCCTGGTGGTCTACTTCCAAAAGGTCACTGTTGTGGAGACCCTATGGAACGTGGTTCTACTGTGCAACCCATGGGGTTGCTGTGTGTTGGGATTGACTGTAGCAGCTGGTTTGGTCTGGTTTTTGATAAATAATATCACTTAAGAATGCTAGATCCCCGAGTGTCAGGGAGTCAAGGCTCTATCTGACAAAGGCTTCCTGCTGCCAACCACTTGGTAATTGGCTGTTAAAATTTTGTACTTGACTGTGCTGGAGTCAGGAGTCCATTTGCAGACTAAGATATGAGCTTCCTGGTCTGACCTCACTGTTGGCTTTCTTTCTCTCCGTTAGCCTTGTAACAGTGCTTGGGAATCGGCATCCTGTGGAAAGACAGAGGATCAGATGACAGCTTCCGGTCAGGCTCGGAAATATGTGAATGCATTCTCGGCCCGGACTCTGGTCATGTGAGACATTTCCAGACAAGCATTATGGTTTTCAGAACACTTCAAGTTGACTTGGGATATCTCATTCCTCTACATGAAACTTTTCATGAATGGGAGAAGAGCTTTTATTTGTTGTGGTACAACAGTTGCGAGCAGCACCAAGTGCATTTAGTTGTCTGAAATCTTATTGGATTTCACCCAACTAAAAGGATTTTTAAAAATAAGTAACAGTTTTACCTAAATTATTAGGTAATGAATTGTCGTCAGTTGTTAGTATCTTAATGCAGATTTTTTAAAACATAAATGATTTATCTGTATTTTAGAGAATCCAACAAACCAGTATTTTCTCCTAGATGGCTTCTTTGAATTTTTTAACAATAAAAAAAGGTACTCCAATATTTCACATTTCTCAATCACTAAACATAAAACATTGATTTAAAAAAAAAATCAGTATAAGCATTACTATAAATGTTGACTTAATATCATGGGATAATTAACCAAGATTGTAAATGCTCATTTATGGTTAATAACGTTGGAGGTACATTTACTGTACTAAACCATTTTATGAATTTTTTGTTGTTAGCTTGCTTTAAAAATTATTACTGTATGAAATAGTTTTATTAAAAAAATTATATTTTTATTCAGTAATTTAATTTTGTAAATGCCAAATGAAAAATGTGTCTTGCTGCTATGGTCTTAGCCTGTAGACATGCTGCTAGTTTCCGAGGGGCAGTAGAGCTTTGGATGGAAAGAAAAGAAACTTGGTGTTAGGTAATTGACTATGCACTAGTATTTCAAACGTTTTTATTTTTATATATATATAAATATATGTATACACAATTTTTTCCTTTTGTAACACATTGGAAAACTTGTTTGGGAGATTTTGCATTTGTTGTTGTTTTTTGTTATTTTTGGTTTGTAAGACCATGCATTGCACTTCTTTTTTGGGAGATCTATGTTGTTAATGTCCTATGTTTTGTTTTGAGTTCAGCCTGACTGCTGTTTAATTCATGGGTTATGTGTTTGATCACATCCATGGTTTCTAAGTTTATGGTCTCAGAACTGCTGCAAGGAGCCTGCGTTTGCAGCCAGGAGACAGAAGACTGGGGTTGATAGCCAGTTGCTGCCTTAAGAACATTTGGTGCAAGACGGCCAGCACTGAACTTTTGATATGACAGTGTACTTACTGCCTTGTAGAGAAATAAAGCTGTGCCCTTATTTTACTTACTTTTGACGTCTGACTTGTGATTGTGGACAATAGTCATACTGATAAGATGATGAAGGCAACTCAATCCAATTAAAGAGCACAGCATCTGAACTCAATGTGAAGAAGCCAAGAATCTTATTCTGGAGAATGAGGAGGAACAAGCCTAGTTACATTGTTCCCAAAATAGTCATGTGCAGAATGCCAAGTATAAGGAATCTTCCAGACTTTATCAGCCAGAGTTTCAGTAGTATTCCAACTGGGATGATACAAGGAGAGTTCATTTACAAAGAGACTGGTACCATAGATGTAGGCAGGGTATGGGGGAACCACAGGGACAGTATACAAAAAAAAAAAAAAAAACAACTCACTGCCATTGAGTCGATTCCAACCCATTGGGTTTCTGATGCATAAATCTTTACAGAACAAGACTGTCCCATCTTCCTTCCCTGGAGCAACTGGTGGGTATGAACTGTTGACCATCTGGTTAGCGGCCAAATGCCTTTGGCACTGTACCACCAGAGCTCGTTGGGGGACAGTATAGTCATGTAGGTTTTGTCCTCATGGATACTGCCACCTGGAGTGTGAGAGTTGTGGAAAAGGGGAGTCTTGAGTGGAATTGGGGCCTCTGGCAAGGGCACTGCCACCCAAGGGGAACTCACAGGGAGGAAGCCTGAGGTAATGCCTTAACTTTGCTTCCCCTATTCCTTCCATCTCAGCCTGGGCTCTTTATTGGCAGAACCAACCAGAAGCCAGAGGGCAAAGGAGAGCCCTGAGGTAAGCCAGATGGTCAGCTTCCTACTGAAGAGAGCTAGAGGACAGGTCCTGGAGAGGAGTAAAGACATGGAGTCCCAGCCCAGCCACCACTGAGTCCATTTTACAGCTGAATCTCCACTGGCTTCCATTTCTCAGTTCAGTGTACTTCACCATGCTACAGTCCCTTTAACACAGATGCCTTCTCATTTCCCTTAGATGCTCTATTCCAACTAAGACTCTGAATTCTCATATGTATGATTTAAGCAGTTGGTATTAGTAGAGCCAAGGATTTGTTACACCTCATTACTAGTTTTAATATTGCTTAGCATCTTTGTCTATCTGATAGATCATAACACATCATCCTAGTGTTAAGAACATTTTTATATTCAATCACTCTTTTGAGTAGTTTTCCAACTGGTGACTCTAGCACTTACTAGCAGTATGAACTTGGAGAAGTCATTAACTTCTCTGAGCCAGCTTTCTTTTCTTCACCTGTGAAATGAGTTCATTTCTATACTACAATATTTGTTCTGACGTGACCATTCCATAATTAAATGATGCATGCCATGTAGTGTGTCAGATGCTCATCTGGCTGATAATGTGCACTGCTGACTGCAGAGTCAAATTTCAGGTAACACTGCAATTATTAAAATACATTAATGGAAAGAGTGAACTCAACATTATATGTTGTTGTTGTTGTTATGTGCCGTCGAGTCAAACCCGACTCATAGCAACCCCTCCTTGGGTTTCCGAGGCAGTATCACTACGGAAGTAGGATTGCCCAACCTTCCTTCCGAAGAGTGGCTGGTGGGTTTGAACCGCCAGCCGTCTGGTTAGCAGGCAAGTATCTTAGCCACTATGCTACCAGAGCTCCCAACATTATATAGAATTGAAAAAAAAATTTACTTTTCTAACAAGTGTAAGTCAAGTAAGTCAAGACTGAACACCTAAGCTAATTAAAAGACTACAAGAAGTGTACATTTTGCTTTCATGCTCAAAATACACTCACATAACATCCATTTCACAGACTTCCATGAAACATATGTTTGTCCTGGTCATTTTTTGTTTGTTACCATCCTGCTTTTTACGATGGGGATCCAAATAGTAAAATACATGGAAACAGTATTACTTACCTTTTGGTAAAAGATTGTCCTTTTGAGTTACTACCTGTAGAGCTCATAGACACCATATGTACATTAAGAGAACAGGAAGGACACAGAGAGGACTTGGAATTAATCATTCAAGGTGATGAGAATGATGTCCAGGGACAAAGTGCTTTGCTTCTTTAGAAAGTATGCAATGTTAGAACTGGAAGGGACCTTAGCTATCATAAAGAGCTTTCTGGAAGAGGCCCGCAGCATGGCTTGTTGGAAGAAATCACTTTTGGGGCCCGGCCAACCTTAGTTTTAATTTAGACTCTGCCCTTTACCAACTCTGTGATTTTTTTATGAGGTTTACTTACTTTAAGTTTCATTTTACTTACCTATAAATTGGAGATAAAAATACTTCTCAAGGTTGTTGGCATTATGAATATTACATGAGATAGCACATGCATTCCTGCATCTCGGTAAATTGTTGCCTAGGGTATTAATTAGATAAATCACATTAATGACTTAGGACAGATCATAGAAGAAACATGCTTATTACCCAGTAAGGGAGAAATGAATTCCCTGGAGGCCCACGTCCTTAATGGTGTGTTAACTCTATTCTCTTTATTAAAACTAACTCAAATCTAAATTAGATCTTCTCAAAACATCCCTAACCATTCTCATTTATATTTAAATATGTATACAGGTTTCTCACTCTTGTACAAATACATATCAGAACTATGGGACATATTTTTCCTTAAAGTTGTTGGTTTCTAATCCAAAAAAGAAAATTATCTCATATGTAGCGTGTGCTTGGCAAATCTATTACTCTGTACTTACCTTATCTATGAGTTTGGTGTTTATTTTTCTCCTTTTAACTATTGCAACATGCCTTAGTATCTTCTGCTATAACAGAAATACAACAAGTGGATGGCTTTAATAAATAGGAATTTATTCTCTCACAGTGTCGACTACAAGTCTGAAATCAGGGTGTCAGCTCTAAGGAAAAGCTGCCTTTCTGTGTCAGCTCTGGGGAAAAGTCCTTGTCTCCTTTCAACATCTGTGAGCCTGGTGCTCCTTAGAAATCTCCATGTGTTTTGTCATCAGTCTTCCCCTGGGTCTAGGAGGTTCTCAGCACAGGAACCCCTGGTCCAAAGAATACATTCTGCTCCTGGCTTTTCTTTCCTGGTGGTTGTAGGTCATTTCTTCTCTGTTCCCTTCTCTTTACTTTTTATCTCTTGTAAGACAAAAGGTGATGCAGGCCACACCCCCAGGAAATTCCTTTTAGATGGGATCAGGGTTGTGACCTGAGTAAGGCTGATCCATCCCACCCTAATCGTGTTTCATTAACATAACAAACATAACCTAATCCTCATTAACTTAACTTAATCCTGCCTCTTTAACCACAGAGGCAGAGGTTAGGGCTTACAACACATCACAAAATGGAGGTTAATTATATCAGATCACAAAATGGAGGACAATCACACACTACTGGAAATCATGGCCAATGCAAGTTGGCACATATTTTGGGGGGAACACAATTCAATCTATGGCACTACAAAAAAGTAAAATCTTCCATATTTTCCATTTCTAGAGGGTAGAATTGAGGAAAGGAAGCCAGCTAAAATGCAAACATTATTTCAATAAAACAAAGTTAACACTTTTATATATTTATATGTAGTAACTTTGCTAAATGGACCAAGAGGGAGCTAAACTACATATCTCAACAAACTTCTTAGTGTTTTGGTAATACATAGATAAGAATTAGTCTTATTCAATATAAGTATTCTTGATGCTAAAGTAGAAATTGAAGAGATTGTGGTGTTCACTGTAAAGTATACTTGATATTTGCCTTGTGGACCAAGTTTCTCTTATTCAGCTAGTATATTCTAAGCACCTATTGTATGCAAAATACTGTGTATGAAGTTGGGGTTGGATCTGAAAACAGCATAAGTAAAAATCCCTATCCTCTGTGTGCTTACATTCTCATGAGTGATACAGATGAGAAAGTGGATAATTATGATATGAGTGTAAAAGGATTAACAGAGACCCCAGGGGAGACACCAGATCTAGACTTGTAGGAGCAAAACAGATTTCCCACAGAATTCCCCTCTAAATGGCACTGACAGATGAAGCTGTGATAAAGTGAGGTTAGGAAGGGGCAGTGAGGTGATCCAAATTTTGTTTGATTCTTAAAATATGTAGAGAAGCATAATTTCATCTGTGATATATATCCTTCTCTAATACTATAGTTCTGTTTTCTGTGATCTATCAATAGAAAATTTTTATCTCAAGAAGATTAACACATAAGCAAACATAAAATTTTCCTCCAGAATTCCTTCATTCTACACCCAGGTTATCAGTTTGCAGAAAACCCTTGCTCAAATCATTTTATAGCTCTGTACTTTGGAATTTCTATTTAAATGGAGGAAGTATTTTATCCTGCACATAATTAAAAAACACAGCAAAAAAAGAAGAGCAAAAAAAACAGTTGCCATCAATTCAGTTCCATCTCATGGTGACCCCGTGTGTTGCAGAGTAGAAATACACTCTGCAGGGTTTTCAGGGCTGTGGCCTTTCAGAAGCAGGTCATAGGCCTTCCTTCAAGTGTCTTTGAACAATCGACCTTTCAGTCAGTAGACTAAAGTTAACTGTTTGCATTACCCAGGTGGCTCTCAAATCCAAGTCAGATAAAATTAAAAGGAAGCTTCAGTAGCCCAAAACACTGAAATACCTAGGATAGAATTGTGATGTTTTCCTGCTGAAATGAAATTATAAGTTAACAAATCACCCTTAGCCTTTCTAAAGATAGATTTAGGATTTGTTTAAATCTAGTCATTTATTCTTTAATGGTTCCAAATTTCTGTAGACAAGTAGGTGCTCCCTCTTTTCCTTACTATTCCCATGTCAGTACAAGCAGTGACTGTTTAAGGCCTGAAGTCAAATGCAAATGTGGTCACTGGGTAGGATAGCAGGAGACTAGGCCTTACTCAGGTCATCCCAAATCCATTTCCCTTCCCCATTTTGAATCTGCCAAAATGAAAAGACATTAGAAACATGTATCACTATTAAACATTGTGATATGATTTACTACCACTCCATCATAAAATTCTACTTACAAAATGATAATAAAGGAGTGAATAAGGTACACAGGTCAAAGAGAACAGAAAGCAACAGATA